ATGTAGAGACTGATGCACAGTACTGAACACTGAAGAAGACTGTAGTCTCCTACCCTGAATGATCAGAATGACATTCTCCCTTCTCAGATTTGCTGCCCAATTAATCTATTCTCCTTGCTCCCCACACATCACAAAAAGCTAAAGAAGACTTGTGCAGAAGGGAGCAGTGTACATAGGCAATAATCCAGATAAGTCAAGCAAAATAATTCCTTTGTTTGATAGATCAGATGTTGCCGCAAAAGTGGCCTGCAGGGAGGGGGACTTGGAGTGGAGCGTGTTCTTGAGTTGTTAAGGTTGAGGTGGGGCAACCCCTGGGCCTGTGACTGGTAGCCTTGTTCTCACTTCCTCATGGTGCTGGCTCTGTGTATCTCCCTCTGAATTTCTTTTCCTCAGATTGTCTCTCTCCAGCCTTGTTCACCATCTCTGTCTTCTGAACTGATTTTGACTTGAATATCCCTTTGACTCTTTTTCTTTTCCACTCTCTAATTGTTTGTCTCTGTCTGACTTTGTCACCTTCCCTGTCTACTTCTGGCCTGCAGTGTCTCTCTCTTTTCTCTTTTCTCCTTTTCTTTCTTCCTAGGAGTTCATTCTCCCTGTCCCTGTCCCTGCCCCTGTCCCTGTCTCTATCCCTATCTCTATCCCTATTTCTTTCTCTATCTTCCTCATTTCTCCCTGTTAATCCCTACCTGTTTCCTTTCTTGTCTGTCTCTAACTCTGTCTCTGTCTCTCTTGTCATTGTCTGTCTGTCAGCCATCCTATCAGCCCTGAAAGCTGTTGCCCTGCCCACTGTTAAAAAATCCTTTCGACTGTTCCTCAATGACCAATTTTCTTTCCTGTGGTTAGAAAGTAGCTCAGGCCTTAACCCATTTCCTCCAGCAGATCCAAATTAATTAGCTGAGACCAGGGTTGTGCATTTCAGAATTAGAATAATATTTATTGAGCACCCTAGAGAGCAAAGGATGGAAGATGGAGAGGAGCCAGAACAGAGAGGGAGGTCACTGAGCTAAGGAAATGGGGGCGGGGAGCTGGCAGAGGAACCTGCTCCTAAGGCCACATAGTCTGGGATGAAGGCACTCTTTCTAGTTGCCAGAGAATGCTAGGAAAGTTTGGGTCTTGGAGAATGGCTCAGGAGTAGCTGTGGAACCAGAAACATTTCCCTGCTTCATGGGGCTTTCAAAACAGTTTTTAGTACGGTTTTCCTGCTTGGGTCTGCTGCCTAGTGCAACATAGACTACTGGTATCCAAAGCCCCCTCTCCCAAGTTATTTCCTTTCATTCTATAGCCCAGGGATAGGAGGAAGCAGTTCTACTCCAACCAAGAGATACCACTTATTGTCCAGCAGCAAGGACTGAACCTGCTGGCCTTCAGGGAGGCAGCCCTGCCTTGAGGATGAAGCCTCTACTTCCTGAGTTGCTGAGTAGGTGTCAATCAAAGTTTGTCAGCCTTAGTGCTACTGTTATTTTGAACTTGATGATTCTTTGCCATGAAGAGCAACCTGTGCAGTGTGGGAAACAGCATCCCCAGCCTCTACCAACCAAGTACCAGTATCACCTACCTGTCTCTGTAGTTGTGGCAACCAAAAATATGTCCAGATACTGCCAAATATTTCAGGAGCAGGTGCGAGATCGCCCTAGTTGAGAAACACAAGTTAGAGTTGGTCTTGGCTAATCAAAGGGAGTGGATCTAATCACCTGACTCCGGTCTTCTACACAGACTTCAGAGAAGTAGGAGTCTGCATAAGAACTTGGACAATAAGAGAAAGGGTAGAACTCTCTGGGGAGTAACATTTGAGCTACAGCTGTCTACCATCATTAGTTCATTAAACTTTCCTCATTCAGCCCCCTCCTAACGTTGGAGTAACCACAAGTCTGCTTGCTACTTAGATAATGAACTGGACATTTAATATAAATGAAGTTTTTTTTTTTGACTGGCTTCTTTTGCTTAATATGATATTTTTAAGATTCTTTCATGGTATAGAATGTGTCATTACTACTTTCCTTTTTATGACTGAATAATTCTCTTTCCCTTTATTTTATTTTGAAGAGTAAAAACAGAAGCAAAAATAAATAGAAAAAAATGACAGAAATAGGGTAACATACAACAATACATATGCTACCAATTTTCAAAACAGGAATATCTAATTAACAGTGGTTGTCATGTTTTCTATCTTTTATTATCAAATCTGTTGCTCAGATTAACAGATATAGTTAGGCAAGATTGGACAAATAATTGAGTGTTAGCACTTGCTTTCAGGATGTGACTGAATAATTCTATTCTGCGTGCATGCATATTGTGTTTATCCATTCAACGGATGACCAGTTGGCTTGTACCCACCCTTTGTCTCTTGCTAATATGGTTGCCATGAACCTTCCTTCATGTGACACTTTATGGTTATCTTTTCTTTTCTTTTTAGAATACTTGGGATTAGAATTGCTGGGTCACATATTCACTCCGGATTTAACATTTTGAGGAATTGTGAAACTATTTTCCAAAGGGGCTGCACTATTTTAAATTTGCTTTAGCAGAATGTGAAGATTCCTTTTTCTCTAAATTGTTGTCAACACTTACGCTTATCTGTCTTTTTATTTGTGGCTATGCGAGTATATATGAATGGATATGGCAGCCAAGTGTGATTTTGATTTGTATTTCCTGGTGCTTAACCATGCTGAACTACTTTTCCTGTATATTTTCTTTAGAGAGACGCCTCTTTAAATCCTTTACCCATTCTAAAATTGAGATATTCAGTTCTCCACAATTCTTGAGTTGCAAGATACTGGGATATTTGGGATATATTTGGGATATAAGTCTGTTATCAGAGATGTGTTTGGCAATGTTTTCTCCTGTTCTGTGAATTGCCTTTCATTTTCTTGATGAGATCCTTTGGTGCACAAATGTTTTTATCTATTTTTCTTTCCTTTCTTGTGCTTTTGATGTTATATCTAAGAAGCCATTGTGAAGTATGAGAAGTCACAATGATTTATTTCCATATTTTCTTTTAAGAGTTTGTAGCTTCAGTACTAATATTTAGGTGTCTGACCCATTTTGGATTAATTTTTGTGTATAGGGTGAGATAAGAGCCTAACTTTATTCTTTTATGTGTGGAAAACTATTAATGCCAGGACCATTTTTTTTTTTAAAGAAAAGTGTCTTTCCAATGAATAATTTTGGCACCATTATCAAACATGAATTGACCATAGATGTATGAGTTTATTTTGAGACTTTCAGTTCTATTCTGTTGGCCTACATGTCTATTATCTTATAACTCACTATTTTCTTATCACAGAAAAATGGTAGGGAAGAGTTTTTGATCATCAGAAGGATAAAAGAATCTAGGAGGCCTGCATTAATGTGAGGTTAAAAAGATACACAAGGTAAAGTTACCAAATGTCAAAATCAGAAGAGGTCTTAGAAATGTTAATTTAACTCTTTGTCTTCACAATGGGGAAGAAGTGATACATTTCAACTTTAGAGGTTAACCTATCTGCCCAAAGCTTCATGGCTAATCACAGACAGAGCTGAGATTTGAACCTAAAACCCTCAACTTTCCAGGCCAATGATTTTTCATTTTCCTAGGACTCATTTGACTGATGTGTGGCCCCAGATTAAGGCCTCCCCTATTTCTTTTGGCTGAACATGAGGTTCTGTGTTCTGCCTGACTGTTAGGTCCGTGGAAGTGAGCGGGGGTGGTGATGTGTGTCTCTTCCTCTTTTGACAGGTGGAGAGAAAAGAACGTCAGTGAGGAGAGAGCATTTGAAAATCTGAAATTGCTATATAAATGCCACTAAATGATAAGATTGCCAGCCTGATGCTCTTCTAGGAAGGTTCATTGTGTCACAGGAGGCATAATGGGAGGAACTCATTCACTCTCAGACACTATGTGGTTGTCACTTTCCACAGGAGTAGCTTACTAGAGCTGGCTAGGATGTGAAGGGAGCTGTAGGGTGGGCAGGGCATGATCTCAGCTGGGAAGGGCTGGCTCAGACAGGCCTGGAGTTATGGAGCCCCACCACCCTTGGGGGCAACCCAAGTACCTGGAAGAGTCTTTGCCCTGCTGGTTCAAAATGAGCGTGATCCAAATGTGGTCTCTGTGGCTTGCCCACAATCGTCCACACTCCAGAAGTCTCTGTTCTTGTGACCACTGGCCATCTCCTTTGTCATCCAGTGAAGAAATCCTGTTTGAAACTAGTTCAGGGAGCAATTACTACTAAATGGTGAGTTTCTAGAGGGCAGGAATGGGGTCCTATTTATCTCCATTCTTGCAGGGACCACTACCTGCCAAGTCTTCAAGAAGCATGTTTGGTTGTTGAAGGTAGGGGTTAAATAAATAAAACCTGCTTTCTCTGGGTCATTGGGTCTCCAGAGGGGGGCTCATCTCTCCACTCAGGTAAAGCTTTTGTGTATCTTTCTTTTCTCCTGTGGCTTTTTTTTTTCCTCTGTGTTTGTAATTGTTGCCTCTTCCGAACTCCATTTGCCTTCACCGTCTGTACCATCCATGTGCTCTGCTGTTTATCTTTTTATCTGAATATCCTGCCTCTGCAGCTGTATCACACCTTTCTTTGACAGCAGGAGTGATGTGTTATACTTATTTGAGCTATCAGTACCTAGTGCATCCTACTCCATGTGTGCAGGAGAGGTTCGTCCCCTCATAGTTCATATCTTGCTGCTGCACATGAGGCCAGGGGTGTCAGCCCTTTTCCAAGGTGATATTCCACTGCCAAGTCATTGGCAGTTCTGGACAGTGTAGGTGAATATTTGGTGAACCAGTATATTGAAGGAATAAATTTCAGAAAAATTATAATCACAGCCTTAGCCTCTGCACCATCAGGCATGGTAACCTATCCACTGAGCCCAGCACTAGATAAGGCTGTGGCGACTGAGAACTGAATGCCATGACTCTGTCTCTTCCTCTAGGTTGTGGACTCAAAGGACCTGCAAAAGTGAGCCATTTCCCTCTGTGGCTGTGCATGTGAGTCTCACTGTGTGATCTCTTCCTTCTGTAGGGCTCTGGCTGACATCTTAAGACAACAGGGACCAATCCCCATAGCACACTGTGAAAGAGAAGCTATCTCGGCTATTGATACCTCTCCCAAAGATAACACGCCTGTCAGATCATCCTCCAAAAACCACTACACCCCTGTGCGTACAGCCAAGCAGACTCCGGGTAAGTGTGTGCTGATCACCTTGAATCTTTTCTGAGACAGTTGAAAGGTTTCAGCGATGTTCTTCTCTGGAGGGCCAGATACTGGACCTGTACTGTGTGGTGAGGAGTGTCTTGGTGGAGTGGGGACTTTACCTGGGAAGGTTGTGGAGTGAGAGGGCCCACCGCTGGCCAGTGTCTGGGCTGAACAAGGGCTGCTGATGCTTTGAGGCACCTGTGGCATTGAGTAGCTGGTGTAACTCTCTCCTCTGAGAGGTAGTATGCAGCAGCCCAGTGGAGTATGGCCATCTATTCACCTGTGTGGTGTGAAAGTTTAGGCTGACTGGAATACTGGACATGCTCAAAAACTCATGCACTCAGGTACTGAGCTTGTTCAATAATTGGAATCTCAGAGTACTTCCTAAATGTGGGGATGTTGTGTGTATTTTTAGCTACCCCTTTACTGTGGGCTGTAACTTCCCTGAATATATGATAAGTTGCCAAATAATGATGATGATGTACAATGGAGCCTGGTATGTGTGGAGGAATTGGTTCCAGAGCTACTGAGAATACCAGATGTGTAGATGCTCAAGATCCTTTTAAGAAGTGGCATAGTGTTGGCGTGTAACCAGCACACATTCTCCTGGGTGCTTGAAATCATCTCTAGGTTACCTGTGATATGTAACACATTATAGATTCTCTGGAAATAGTTTGTCTTGTTGTATTGTTTAAGCATTAACATCTCTGGACTCATTGAGTACAGATGCAACTTTTTGAATATTTTTGATTCATGGCTGAAATCTGTTGGGTGGAGTCCTGCATTTGGTTGAACCCTGCAGTTGGATGCCGAACCTGTGGAATATGAAGGGCTAACTGTACCTCCTGTTTCTTTTGTTTGGTTATTACTATAACACTGTGAAGGATTTTGGGTTGGGCTTATTTTTGTTATCCTGTAGATCAATATGTAAAGCTGCAGGATGTTTGCTAACTCTGGCAAGGCCATAAAAGTGCTAATAATAAGAAAAATATCAGTAATAGCAGCAGTATAATGTACATATTCTTTGCCAAACATCGTGCTGAACAGTTTGCATTTCTAATTCTTTACAACAACATTAAAATTACTTGTATTATCAACACTTTATTGTGTTAAAAAAAAAAGTTAAGTAACTTTCCTCAGGTCACATGATTAGTAAGAGAGAAAACTAACATTTAAATCAAGGCAAATAGTTCATAACAGTCAGGATTAGAAAACCATAATATTCATACCCAGTGAGAAACACAAATGCAAAGTATCTGAGTAGACAGTGTCTCTATACCTTGATAAGTCATGTGCCAGTACAAGTCTCACCGGAAAACCCAGTACTGACTCTGCTTCCCAGGATCCTACGGTACTTTGGTGCCTGTCTTTTGGGGAGTTCACATCCAGGACTCTGCCGATTTTCAAAGGATGGGCTGTAGGGTTAAACTGAACTTGAAATAAAGATATTCAATCACTAAGTGGCATAGTAGTGTCCCGATCCAAAACTAGCAGAGGTGCTGCTGAAATCAAATTTATTTTCCACTCATTATTTAACTTTCTTAAGTGAAATCACCTTTGCCTTTAATATAGTTTTAAATCCTTTGAATCCTTGCAATAGCTAGGGATAGGTTTTCTTGAAGATCTATCTGTATATAGACAGATGAATGTATGTATTCATCTAACAGTTTGTATAGGACTTAAGGAGAGTCATAGACCCTCCCTCCAAAGTTAGACATCCTTGAATTAAAGGTCAAATGAGGGATGTGCCTTTTCAGAGTCTACCATGCATTTCCATCAGAAACGTACTGGGTTATTTAAATGGAAGCAACAAACAGAATAATGGTAAAAACATCTGGAACAGTGGTCACCGGCTGCACACTGGCTGCACCCTGGGGAGGTTCTTGAAAATGTTGATGCACAAGCTCCACAGATTAGCCAACATTTCTAGGAATGGGAATGACCATCACCCTTCTTTCAAGAAATGAAAATCTCCACAAATGGATTCTAACATGCACCCAGGGAGAAGAATCAATGGCCCAGATGGATTCCTTCATACATAAGGACCGACTTTGAATACCAATGATTCTCCAACTTGTTTGCATATTAGAATCATTGGAAAGCCTTAAAAATAAAGGATGTCTGGAACTCCTACCTAGAGGTCATGACTGAGAAAGCAGCAAGATACTTAAAACTTTTCCTTTAGTTAGAAAGAATGAGAATTACTGGGCTCTGAGATTGCATACAATCACCATTCTAACTAATCTTTAAAATCACTGATTATTATTTAGTCTGACCTTGACATCACTGCCAGTGGTGGGTAGGGTGTTTTTTGTTGTCCCAAAGATTCGTCGTTTGAAGTCAGTCTCCTCCAGAGCTTGGCCTGTGACTCTGGAGCTTCGGTCACTCTGACCTGCAAAGCACTCATGGTGGTTTATTTTCACTTCTATGTTCAATTTTTCTGCCTCATTCACAAATGAGCTATTTCCCATGTACTGAATCCAGTCTGAACAAATAGACAGTCATGATTTGCTCATAAGTACCCTTCTCCGGGCAGGAGGTATTGTCATTTCTTGTGGTTTCCTTACACATCTTGTCTTGCACTGAGTTGAGAATGGAGGTTTTACAGTTAACATGATTCACTTCTGTGTTTCTGGAGCTCCCTCCCTGTATTTGTCAAATTGTAGCTCTTCTTATTGCTTTTAGAGGTGGGAATGGTTTCTCTGGCCCAGAAAACATTCACAGTCATGAAACCAAAATGTAAAAGCAGTTTCACAACATGCTGTATCTTCTGTAGCTTGTAACAAACATAGTGCTTTTCTAAATAGCTGATATCTTTTGCCACAATATATTGCAATTTGAGCAAAACTTTACAGAACTTTGGGTAAATGTTCTAAGTAGAAATTCACTGTGATTTTTGTCACTCATCAAATAAATCAACCAACTGCCAATTGTAGTAAAGCAATAGGAATGCTCAGGGGGGTGTTATGAGAAAGGTCCAGAAATGCCAAGATCCACTAAAACATACTGGTAGCTTGGCTCTTTGAAGTGCTACCATTGGACCTCTGTATTACTGTTATCTGGGATTTGTGAGATGTGCAATATCCCAGGATAACTTCACCTGCCGAATGAGAACCTGCATCGTAGAGAAATCACTAGCAATTAGAATTTGAGAACCTTTGGAAAATTGTGGTCTGGCTTTTTTCTTGGTATCATCATCTACTACATATATGATCCTGCTGCTGCGATTACTACCTCCAAATGCCTAGAATTGTGTTAAGAATTCAATGAGTTAAATCAAACAGAACATTTAAACAGACTCCCATTCATAGCGAACACTGTTGTCCAGGACTAGGCTATGCAAGTGTATCTATAGCTTCTGGAAAATGTGTTGAATGAATGAGAGCTCTAAGTAATGTGTTAGTGTCCTTAGACTAACAGCACCCATGCAGCTGAAATGGGGCAGGCTTGGAAACACATGCACTTGTTTGGTCTGGAAACTGGAGTGAGAGTCCTACAATAATAATAGAAATAATGACAACCATGTACCACAAGTACCACTTATTGAGCACTTACTACATACTGAATTCTTAGCTAGGTCTCCACAGCAGAGAACATAGTATTTATTACATGTGGGAATTCCTAATTTCACATTGACAGAACAGTCGGTCACTTCATCTGAGAGTCTTTCACCTTAACTGGCTCAGTAAGTCCCATCCAAACTTCTTTTTATCTAGTATGAAGGAATGAACCCAGTGTTATGCATTGTGCTACATCCCCAGTCCCTTGCACCTTTTCCTGTTTTGAAATAGGTCTCATTAAGTGGTAGCCCAGGCTGGCTTGAGTTTACAGCTCTCCTGCCTCTGCTTCTTTGATTTCAGGGATTACAGGTGCACCACTAGACCCAGCTGCCCTTTCCTAACTTTAAAGGGAGCTCCACAGTGGACTTTTACTAGGGTGTAGAAGACTTATGAAGCCTGTGTCCATCATGGAGTTCTCAAGCCTGGCTGCCTAGAGACCTTGCTGCTCAGACTGTGGTCCATGAACAGTGGCAACTATCTCATGAAGCTAGCTGAAAATGCAAAATCTTGGGCCCTTTCCCAGACCTACCAAATCAGAAGCTGTACTTATTCTAGAAATTGAAGTAAATTGCACATGTGTTAAAGCTAAAAGAGTCTTCTGTCATGGTGATTCTCCATTTTGGCTGCACATTGCAATTGGATAGGGAATTCTGAAAATACTACTGTTTGGCATCTACCACAGGGACTCATGTAATTAGTCTGGAGTAGAACCTGGTCAACAATATTGATAGTTTTGAAAACTTCCTGTACTGTTCCTATGTTCAGTAAACTTTGAGATTTGAGGTTCTGAAGGTGGCTATAAGGTGGGAGAGACATCCTTTAAAGATTGTGGAGGTTGGGTTCCCATGAAAGCATGCAGGGTGGAGACGGTCTGGTTGGAGTCATTGGGCTGTGGCCAGAAGTCCTCTCATTGCAGGTGGGGCAAGGGGAGCAAAGGAATCAAGCTTCTGTGAGAGACAGAGGGATCAGTGTGCAGACATGAATGGAGATATGGGGAGAAGCAGGCACACACATAAAAATGTTATAAGTGATTCAAAAACTTCCAGTAAGCAGAGTCATTAGGAACTACACTATGTCTAGTGCTTCAGGCCCCCTGAGCTCAGAGTTCAGAGACTTGGTGTGAGCTTAGTTCTCATATTGGGGCAAGAAGGGAGACCTGGCATGCTTGTCTGGCCTGTACTTCTCTCAAAGATCCTACCTTGAGGTGTGTGGATGATCTTCCCTAGCAGTATAATGAGCTCATATGTTTAAGTTCTACAGTCTTGATAGCCACCTTCCCCGTATCAAGATTGACACCAGCTGGAAGCATTAAATACTTATGCTCTATTTACACATCACTGTGCATTATATAAATGGGTAATCAGTCATCCTGCCTGTTGTCAAAGCCATTGCCTTGAGTGGCAGACTCAAGGAGCCAGGGGCAGGAC